GGCCCGCTGCAGGCGGCCACGCGCCTGGGCAAGGCAAAGGGAAAAATGACCAGTGTCCCCAGGCCCTGGGGGCCCGCTGCAGGCGGCCACGCCCACGTAAAGGTCGGACACTGGCAGTTTCTTTAGCCACGCCTCTGTGGCTCCGCCCCTGCTGCCAGTGGTCGCCGCTACTTATTCTCCAAGGATGACCCTGTCAAGGAGACTGTGCCCTGGCGCGGTTGAGGTCACGTCTGACCTGGGCTGGGCCGCCAGTGACCCCAGGCGACCCTCCAGCCGACCGCACGATACCCAAGTGTCATCCTTGTGTTAACAACTACGTCTGCTAACTCTTATCAATAAAAGAGATTTAAGCCACTAAGCTTTTACTACTCCCTGTCACCAATGTTTAGAGGTACCTTATATAACTCTTACAGTGTGTGTGTGTGTGTGTATACACACACACACACACATACACACACACACACATACACACACACACACACACACACACACACACACACACACACACACACACACACACATATATATATATATATATATAAATATATATATATATATATATATATATATATATATATATATATATATATATATATATATATATATATTACATACATACATACATACATACATAAATATATATATGTATGTATACATATATATATATATATATATATATATATATATATATATATATATATATATATATATATATATATATACACATACATATATATATACACATCACATGTATCCGTGCTTCGCCGAGCAAGAGGCTAAATCTAAGATATTTTCCTCATGCATCAGAGTCTCCTACGAGGGGGCCTGCCTCGCCGTACTGAAGGTCCTTCTTCCGTGAATATTCATTTGAGATGGTAGTAATAAAACTCTCACGTCGCCTGTAACGCAATGAACAGGAAAATAAAGAAGCTGATTTAATTGTGTCAGCAGCACGAATCTTACGCCTGAGTCGAATATTCAGATCCAGAGGCGAAAGGATGACATTACGTCCCTAAGATCGACAGGGTGATGCAAGTACAATAAGCGAAACGACCTAATTGCACTTAAAAGTTTGCAACATTCTTGATCCGACAGTTTCCCAAACACGCTCTGCAGGTACGGTCGAAAATTATTCTACATTATATACTGTTTTCACCCATACCGTTTACTGACGCTTCTCTCCCTGTGACTCCCAAGGATTCGAAATTGTAAGTGAACATGCTTGAAGCTTCTTTGGATGCTATCTAAAAGCCCGGGCGGGAGGACTGAGAACAGAGAAAAAAAGGAAATGTCTTTTCCATTCGTCTCAAAAGGGCGGGAAAAATGTTTGATATGCGCATGACAGTTTTGTTTTAACTCACTTTTTTGTTCTATGTGTGAATGAATATATGTGTGTAAATGTGTATGTATACACGCATGCATCCACGCGCAAACATACACATGTGTGTATGTCTGTCTATCTATCTATTTAGCAATATATCTATGTATTTATCTTTTTTATCTATTTATCTATCCATCTATTTATCTATCTACCTATCTATATAAACATACATACACACGCGAAGAAACACACACACACACACACAAACCACACACACACACACACACACACACACACACACACACACACCACACACGCACACACACACACGCAAACACACAGACACCCACACACGCACACACACACACACGCAAACACACACTACACACACACGCACACCACACGCACGCAAACACACGCACACACAACACACACACACCACACCGACACACACACACACACACACACACACACACACATATACATATGTATGTACATATAAATATATGTATCTCTCTCTCTCTCTCTCTCTCTCTCTCTCTCTCTCTCTCTCTCTCTCTCGCTCTCTCTCTCTCTCTCTCTCTCTCTCTCTCTCTCTCTCTCTCTCTCTCTCTCTCTCTCTCTCTCTCTTTCTCTTCATATATATACGTACATATAAACACATACACACATACATATACAAATGTAAAAATATACACGGACACAAACACTTTTATATATATATATATATATATATATATATATATATATATATATATATATATATATATATATATGTGTGTGTGTGTGTGTGTGTGTGTGTGTGTGTGTGTGTGTGTGTGTGTGTGTGTGTGTGTCCATATTAAGCCTTTTGTCAAGAGACTAGATTTGTTCCAGTCGACAAATATATCTTTCATAGTAACAGGACATGTATTCACAACGAAAGTTCTAAAGAATGAAAAATAATGCCAGTGCTTCCCCCTGTCTTTTACAGGAGGAAAAACAAGTTCGAGTCTGACTGGCTGTTGCCCAACAATACCTCCCTGACCCCCCCCCCCCCACTCGAAATGTTAAGTGCATAGCTCTCCATCCTCGATGACGCATCCAATCCAGCATCCAAACATCTTCCAAGACAGAGATCATCGACAAGATGTTTCTAGAAGTTTCTGCGAAATGGGCAGGGAAGAAAAACGCATCCCATTTCTTTGTGATTTACCTGACGTGTATGTATGCTGCTTTTACGTTTGGTTATGGATAAAAATTCGTGTTTGGAGTCATAAAAGCACATTTACACATTTGCATGTACGTGCATGCGTACGTGTGCATGTGTGTGTATTTATTAATTGACCTATACATCTACTCTTATACAAAATTATAGCTATTCGTACACAGCGTCACTCACACAACACTTCTGCAAGTGCCTAAGCGGGGCGAATATCAGCTGCCGTTGACGTTAAAGTTATCCCCCTCGCTCGCATTGCTAGTTGGATGTGTCCCTTTACACAGGTCTGTGCATGTATGTGCATATATGTGCACCTTGTATACTGATCTAGATAAGTAAATATATTAAGTTTTGTGCGTTGAGAATATAAAGGTAACGTTTCTCATAGTACTACACAAAAGACCTGGCTATCTAGTATCTTAGATAAACGCAGAGAAACCTTCTACCTCGGAATGCTTCCCGAATGTACTTCATACTTAACACTCCATTAATCTCACCAAAAGGTTCTCACCTCCCCATCCCCACCATTCCTCTTCCCTCCTCTTGGCTCTGAGCTGAACCAACCAATCCGAATCTGCAGTAAGAGTCAACATAATTCCCTCACACACCTCCATGTTTACCTCAGGAATATAGCAGCGAGAAGGGAATGTAGCACGGACTTGAAGTAGCAACCCGTGCTCCATCTGTATGTTTGCACTGCGGTACGTGTGGAGGATAGCACCGAGCGCAATTGACAAGATAGTCTACGGGACCTCCGCGCCACATTTCAGTTACTCGTGGTGGTAAACTGCTCTATTTATAAGGATCAGTACAATCTACATTTTATGTGTCTTTTTCCCTCTCACAATAAAGATATATGTAATACATATACTTGCAAGTAAAAAAATTAAATTTCCCGCTCGAATCATCTCGAAAACAAGGTCACTAAAAATCTTATTCCAACCAACGGCAAAACTTCTACACTTGAGTTTGTTATTCTTTCCAAAGGATTCCTTTTTAAGACAAGTAAATTACTTCCACAATAAATATCACAGAAATGGAGGAACTGACATAAACCATCATATAAAAAGAGGGGACCAGAGAGAGAGAGAGAGAGAGAGAGAGAGAGAGAGAGAGAGAGAGAGAGAGAGAGAGAGAGAGAGAGAGAGAGAGAGAGAGAGAGAGAGAGAGAGAGAGAGAGAGAGAGAGAGAGAGAGAGAGAGAGAGAGAGAGGGAGAGAGAGAGAGAGAGAGTCCAACAATACATACAGTTTTCTAACTAACCAAACGATACTCCTTTAGACATTCATTAATTGCCAGTGTGCGCACACCAAACCTCGCTTCTATGGAGGCCCATAAAACACTTTAATGAAAAAGGCAACTAAGGTTATATATTTTTATCCCCAGACAAACACTGGCACACGCACCACTCCCCGTGAATAGATGGCGTTCTTTGGCCTTTAACTGGTGCTGCGACACATCGAAAACAGAAGGAAGGAAAGAAAAGAAGGGGGGAAAGGGAGAAAGGAAAATAAGAGGATGGAAGACGGTAAGGGCTTATGAGGAAGGAGAAAATGGAATGAAACACGCGAGGGAAATAACTTAGGTACGAGCATCGTGGCCGCAGGGTTGGGGGCATCACAGAAACGTGCGTGCGAGTGTGTGTATGTGTGTGTGCAAGTGTGCAAGTGTGTGTGTGTGTGTGTGTGTGTGTGTGTGTGTGTGTGTGTGTGTGTGTGTGTGTGTGTGTGTGTGTGTGTGTGTGCAAGTGTGTGCAAGTGTGTGTGTGTGTGTGTGTGTGTGTGTGTGTGTGTGTGTGTGTGTGTGTGTGTGTGTGTGTGTGTGTGTGTGTGTGTGTGTGTTTGTGCGCGCGTACATATGTGATGCGTGTGCGTGCGTACATGTGTGATCTGTGTGTTAGCGTGTGTTGTGTGTGGTTGCGTGCATACAAAATGTATTCCAAGTCAAAAGCAACACAGGGAGGATTTAATACGAAAAAGCGGAAAGGAACTGGAGGACACAAATAGATTTACATAACAGCAGTTCCAGGGATAAGCAGACAAGCAGAGAGACAGAGTGGTAAAAATGGAAGAATAAAAGCAGACAGAAATAGATTGTTGCCCATGACAACACAACCCGAAACACCAAAACAATACCCGGAAAGAAGCTACAACATTCTTTTGCTACTTGAAACTAAACTGATAAGAACAAAGAAGTACGTACCTTTACAACCCTCAAGTTATCTTCCCTTGTTTTCATCTTATTTCAACTTTACTACGAAACTCATCCAATAAGATAAGAGAAGGCAAATCTCTCTTTTCTCTCTCCCTAAAAGCACAAACCTTGGCGACTAAAACCAATGCTTTTGATACAATTGCTAAAAATAATGGCGCAGGTTTCTTTTTTTTCGCTATGGATGACAGTGATAATGCATAATACTGATAGAAAATACTGTTTGGAATCTCGGGAGGATTCGGCAAAAGTTTGCAAATAACTATAC